AATTAATAACCAAAGTGAAGAAATACTTAGATATTAATACACTTATACTTGGTGACTTCAATCTAGCTCTTTCTGTACTCGGTAGGTCTTCTAAGCACATCTCCAAAGAAACGAGAGCTTTAAATGATACACTGGACCAGATGGATTTCACAGATATCTACAGAACTTTACATCCAAACTCAACTGAATATACATTCTTCTCAAGTGCACATGGAACTTTCTCCAGAATAGACCACATACTGGGTCACAAATCAGGTCTGAACCGATACCAAAAGATTGGGATCATCCCCTGCATATTCTCAGCCCATAATGCCTTGAAATTAGAACTAAATCACAACAAGAAGTTTGGAAGGACCTCAAACACGTAGAGGTTAAGGACCATCCTGCTAAAAGATGAAAGGGTCAACCAGGAAATTAAGGAAGAATTAAAAAGATTCATGGAAACTAATAAGAATGAAGATACAACCCTTCAAAATCTTTGGGATGCAGCAAAAGCAGTCCTGAGTGGGAAATACATTGCAATACAAGCATCCATTCAAAAACTGGAAAGAACTCAAATACAAAAGCTAACCTTACACATAAAGGAGCTAGAGAAAAAACAGCAAATAGATCCTACACCCAGCAGAAGAGAGTTAATAAAGATTCGAGCAGAACTCAACGAAATCGAGACCAGAAGAACTATGGAACAGATCAACAGATCCAGGAGTTGGTTCTTTGAAAGAATTAATAAGATAGATAAACCATTAGCCAGCCTTATTAAAAAGAAGAGAGAGAAGACTCAAATTAATAAAATCATGAATGAGAAAGGAGAGATCACTACCAACACCAAGGAAATACAAACGATTTTAAAAACATATTATGAACAGCTCTACGCCAATAAATTAGGCAATCTAGAAGAAATGGACGCATTCCTGGAAAGCCACAAACTACCAAAACTGGAACAGGAAGAAATAGAAAACCTGAACAGGCCAATAACCAGGGAGGAAATTGAAGAAGTCATCAAAAACCTCCCAAGACACAAGAGTCCAGGGCCAGATGGCTTCCCAGGGGAATTCTATCAAACGATTAAAGAAGAAACCATACCTATTCTACTAAAGCTGTTTGGAAAGATAGAAAGAGATGGAGTACTTCCAAATTCATTCTATGAGGCCAGCATCACCTTAATTCCAAAACCAAAGACCCCACCAAAAAGGAGAATTACAGACCAATATCCCTGATGAACATGGATGCAAAAATTCTCAACAAGATACTAGCCAATAGGATCCAACAGTACATTAAGAAAATTATTCACCATGACCAAGTAGGATTTATCCCCAGGACACAAGGCTGGTTCAACACTCGTAAAACAATCAATGTGATTCATCATATCAGCAAGAGAAAAACTAAGAACCATATGATCCTCTCATTAGATGCAGAGAAAGCATTTGACAAAATACAGCATCCATTCCTGATCAAAACTCTTCAGAGTGTAGGGATAGAGGGAACATTCCTCGACATCTTAAAAGCCATCTACGAAAAGCCCACAGGAAATATCATTCTCAATGGGGAAACACTGGGAGCCTTTCCCCTAAGATCAGGAACAAGACAGGGATGTCCACTCTCACCACTGCTATTCAACATAGTACTGGAAGTCCTAGCCTCAGCAATCAGACAACAAAAAGACATTAAAGGCATTCAAATTGGCAAAGAAGAAGTCAAACTCTCCCTCTTCGCCGATGACATGATACTCTACATAGAAAACCCAAAGCCGGGATCCCTGGGTGGCGCAGCGGTTTAGCGCCTGCCTTTGGCCCAGGGCGCGATCCTGGAGACCCGGGATCGAATCCCATATCGGGCTCCCGGTGCATGGAGCCTGCTTCTCCCTCTGCCTGTGTCTCTGCCTCTCTCTCTCTCACTGTGTGCCTATCATAAATAAATAAAATTTAAAAAAAAAAGAAAACCCAAAGCCTCCACCCCAAGATTGCTAGAATTCATACAGCAATTTGGCAGTGTGGCAGGATACAAAATCAATGCCCAGAAATCAGTGACATTTCTATACACTAACAATGAGACTGAAGAAAGAGAAATTAAGGAGTCAATCCCATTTACAATTGCACCCAAAAGCATAAGATACCTAGGAATAAACCTAACCAAAGAGGTAAAGGATCTATACCCTAAAAACTATAGAACACTTCTGAAAGAAATTGAGGAAGACACAAAGAGATGGAAAAATATTCCATGCTTATGGATTGGCAGAATTAATATTGTGAAAATGTCAATGTTACCCAGGGCAATTTACACGTTTAATGCAATCCCTATCAAAATACCATGGACTTTCTTCAGAGAGTTAGAACAAATTATTTTAAGATTTGTGTGGGATCAGAAAAGACCCCAAATAGCCAGGGGAATTTTAAAAAACAAAACCATAGCTGGGGGCATCACAATGCCAGATTTCAGGCTGTACTACAAAGCTGTGGTCATCAAGACAGTGTGGTACTGGCACAAAAACAGACACATAGATCAATGGAACAGAATAGAGAACCCAGAAGTGGACTCTGAACTTTATGGTCAACTAATATTCGATAAAGGAGGAAAGACAATCCACTGGAAGAAAGACAGTCTCTTCAATAGATGGTGCTGGGAAAATTGGGCATCCACATGCAGAAGAATGAAACTAGACCACTCTCTTGCACCACACACAAAGATAAACTCAAAATGGATGAAAGATCTAAATGTGAGACAAGACTCCATCAAAATCCTAGAGGAGAACACAGGCAACACCCTTTTTGAACTTGGCCACAGTAACTTCTTGCAAGATACATCCACGAAGGCAAAAGAAACAAAAGCAAAAATGAACTATTGGGACTTCATCAGGATAAGAAGCTTTTGCACAGCAAAGGATACAGTCAACAAAACTAAAAGACAACCTACAGAATGGGAGAAGATATTTGCAAATGACGTATCAGATAAAGGGCTAGTTTCCAAGATCTATAAAGAACTTCTTAAACTCAACACCAAAGAAACAAACAATCCAATCATGAAATGGGCAAAAGACATGAAGAGAAATCTCACAGGGGAAGACATAGACATGGCCAACATGCACATGAGAAAATGCTCTGCATCACTTGCCATCAGCGAAATACAAATCAAAACCACAATGAGATACCACCTCACACCAGTGAGAATGGGGAAAATGATGCGGAGAAAAGGGAACCCTCTTACACTGTTGGTAGGAATGTGAACTGCTGCAGCCACTCTGGAAAACTGTGTGGAGGTTCCTCAAAGAGTTAAAAATAGACCTGCCCTATGACCCAGCAATTGCACTGTTGGGGATTTACCCCAAAGATACAGATGCAATGAAACGCCGGGACACCTGCACCCCAATGTTTATAGCAGCAATGTCCACAATAGCCAAACTGTGGAAGGAGCCTCAAACTGTGGAAGGAGCCTCGGTGTCCATCGAAAGATGAATGGATAAAGAAGATGTGGTTTATGTGTACAATGGAATATTACTCAGCCATTAGAAACGACAAATACCCACCATTTGCTTCGACGTGGATGGAACTGGAGGGTATTATGCTGAGTGAAGTAAGTCAATCAGAGAAGGACAAACATTATATGTTCTCATTCATTTGGGGAATATAAATAATAGTGAAAGGAAATATAAGGGAAGGGAGAAGAAATGTGTGGGAAATATCAGAAAGGGAGACAGAACATGAAGACTCCTAACTATGGGAAACGAACTAGGGGTGGTGGAAGGGGAGGAGGGCAGGGAGTGGGGTGAATGGGTGATGGGCACTGAGGGGGGCACTTGAGGGGATGAGCACTGGGTGTTATTCTGTATGTTGGTAAATTGAACACCAATAAGAATACTTTGTTTCATAAAAAAAAATTTAAAAAAAATAATAAAGTAGCCAGGGCAGGGGCGCAGGCTGGCTCAGTCAGAAGAGCATGCAGCTCTTGATCTCGGAGTTATGAGTTTGAGTCCCGTGCTGGCTGTAGAGATTAAAGAAATAGTTTAAAAAATAAACAAATACAGGGGATGTACTTAGCTTTGGTCAACTCAACACCCCAGGCTCCTCAAGTCAGGTCAGGTAAAATGAGATGGAAGCAGATTAATTTAAGGAATTGCCATCCACTTTGCATATAGGCTCAGAAAGGCTAATAAGGAAGTGGAGCCCATTTCCTAACTTAGATTCTGAAACTTACTTTCTCTTTCTTTCTTTCTTTCTTTCTTTCTTTCTTTCTTTCTTTCTTTCTTTCCTTTCTTTTCTTTTTTTCTTTCTTTCTTTCTTTCTTTCTTTTTCTTTTTCTTTCCCTTCCTCCCTCCCTCCCTCCCTTCTTTCCTTTTTTCCTTCTTTCACTATTACTGTCAAAAGGTTACAATGTGCCTTTTATTTTTTTTATTTTTCTAGGTATTTATTTGAGAGAGAGCATACAAGATGGGGGCAGGGGCAGAGGCAGAGGCAGAGGCAGAGGGAGAGGGAGAAGCCAGCTCCTCACTGACCAGGGAGCCTGATGTGGGGCTAGAGCCCAGGACCCTGAGAGCATGACCCGAGCCCAAGGCAGACACTTAACCAAATGAGCCACTCAGGCACTCTTGAGACACAATTTATGAATTCCCCTGATTGTTTTTATTTAAAAAGCACATGGTGGGGTGCCTAGGTGGCTCAGTAGGTTGAATGTCTGCCTTGGGCTCAGGTCCTGATCTCAGGGTCCTGGGCTCCAGCCCCACATCTGGCTCTGTGCTCAGCAGGGAGTCAGCTTCTCCCTCTCCCTCCCTGTCTCTCTCCTTTCTCTCTCAAATAAATAAATAAAATCTAAATAAATAGTGTTTCTCTCACCTTTCTACAAATCCCCACTTTCTGGGTTCACATGGAAAGGTGAATTTGTTCGGCTTTAATTATAGGAATAATTTTCATTGTTCTGTGAATAAAAGATGCTGCCACTTTATGCTGTAACAAGGAACCTCAGTTTTTAAAAACTAAACCATTATGAGGATAATTTAGTTGTAATGCATATAAGTTTTAAAACCCAGGGCAATTTTTATTAATTCCATAAATACTTATGCTGCAGTAAGTAGAAATATGCTTAAAAGAAAGCTGTTAACACTGTGTTTAACCACAACTGAACACACATAGAAATCCCTTGTAGCCACTAAAGATGCCGTCCTTCACTCAACACAAACCACTCCCCTCAGGAGAGTTAGTCTCTTCATCAGGGTGGTCGGTCACGTAGAAGCCACGCTCCTCTATCGCCCGGTAGAGTGTGATGTACTTGGAGGCCTTCCTGGTCCTTGGAACTACATACTTCTCCGTGAACTCACCTTTGTCCAGTTGCTGCTTGCCTTCTGTGGTCAGAATGCAGTTAATGAATGTGAGGGTGTAACTGTAGCAGTTGTGATGGTCTTCTTGATACCTTACAAAACAAGGATGTTGAGAAGGGAAGGCTTATGCTTAAAAGCTGCTCGAGCACAGGCCATCAAGCTGCCAAGGGACTTGCAGAGTTGAAATCGGGCTCTTAGCACACTGGCTATGCCAGCCCCCTTGACGACAGAGCTCCCAGGGGTGTGGTTCTGAGGGATACTTGGCAGCTTGGGCTATTTCTATCTGCGACTTAAGTAGGATAGGAGTGGACTTGCCTAGACATTCAGAGCCGTGACAAGTTGTACAGAAACTGCCAACAGGGGGAACTGACATTCTAGAAATGGAATTCCATTTCTAAGTTTTAGGGTATCCCAGTGTCTAACCTATTGTAAGGAAGCCTCAAAATGATTAGGTCCACAAGTATACTATATATCAAAAGTGTTGAGGAAGCAAGAAATTGAGAAATTTCAAAATTGCTAAATCAAAAAAAAATGTTAGGTATTTTTACATTTTAAACATATTTTAAAAATGTTAAGGGAATATAATATGGCCTTTGCTGTACATATTAAATGTTAAGTATGTAAAAATATCTAATCAAATAGCTAGAGTAGTAAGCTGTCCTTTCAGTTCAGTTCTTAAAATACTGTGACTCTGTTGTGTAAGTATTTTCTGGCTCACCTCTGCAGAAAACCCAAAGTAATTCAACCGCTGTTTCAACTTTGTTACAGGTAATACCATCTTGGTACAGGATCAACATGAACTAAACACGGCTTAAGAGTGCCCTGAGCTGGGGTCACACCCGTGTGGTGAACAAAGGCCAAGGAACAGGTAGTCCCTGCAGCCCCATACCTCTGGGGCAGCCAGGCCCCGGTGCTGGAGAAGTCTTCCAGGTACTTGTCCCACTGATCCATCAGTCCAAACATGCCAGGCTGCAGTAATGGGATGCTCACACTCTGCTCCCATCCTGCTTCATCTCGCTGGACACCGTGCATGGTGTAATTATACACAATTCCTGCAACGAAAACTAGAGTCATGCGGAAGTTTAATGGAAAATGCACCTCTGTGATAAGAGGTCAGAAAATGAGAGTAGCCCCTGTAGTAACTTTACATAAAGTTCTCCAGATTGTACGTTCTGATTACTGTCAAACATTAAGAGATCACGAGAGGCCCTGGACTCCCCTCCAGGATCCAGCAGGGGAGGCAGCCACTCACCTGACAGATTTAGATGGAGTCTTGCCTAGAGTCTGGGAGGGTCAGGGGTATTGGAGCCCCTGCCTCCCCTGCCCTCAGTAAATCATTTCTTTCAGGGAAGCCCAGTTCTTGCTCCCCGTGCTCTTTAGCACCATGAAGTTGCCCCCGGGAAATGGAGACAATAATAGAGCCAAGGATCATCCTCTCCAAAAGTTTTCTGGGTACAAGTGGGTCTGTCTTGTTTCCTTAAATCAGCAGTAATTTCCACTGAGATAATGGGTCATAAATTTGACAATTCGTGTGGGTAAATTTGAGTCCAAAAACCCAGTCCTGGGTTTCTGTTCACTGGTCAGTTTCTCCTGCCTTGAGTGGATACAGAAAAGCCGAATTCAGACTTCACCTGGAAGGCCTGTGATCACAGCCTCCCCCTGCCCAGCCTTGCTCTAACCCCCAGGCCCACACCTCCCTGTGACTGGGGTGCCAGGCCCTCTGCCTGCAGACCAAATTTTCTGGTTTTGGGGCTTCCAGGCTGTGCCCTCAGAGCTAACTGTGGCTAAAGGAACTGCTTTGTTTAAATGTACACTTTTTTTTAAAGTGTACAACCGTGGGCCCCACCACATGCTCAGGTGCTCTATCCTCTGATATATCCCTGAGACCCCTGCCCAGTCCCTAGAGACCCCAGTGGCAGTGGGCTGGGTCCAGATTCTGGTTCCAACACAAGAAATCATGGATACTACAACCTCTCCAGACTTCTGTTTGTTCATTTCTTAAAAACCCAACAAAACAGGGCACCTGGGTAGCTCAGTAGTTGAGAGTCTACCTTTACACTCAGGGCATGATCCCGGGGTCCTAGGATTGAGTCGCTCATTGGGCTCCCTGCAGGGAAGCCTGCTTCTCCCTCTGCCTGTGTCTCTGCCTCTCTCTCTGTATCTCTCATGAATAAATAAATAAAACCTTAAAAAAAAAAAAAGAAAAGAAAACAGACTTGCGATACTCTTGGCTGAGAAAACATTAAAGAGCTTTGAAATACTTCGTACTATCAGTGCTAAGTTGCTGTCAAGTATTTCTCTTTTGCAGAGTAGCATTGCCCACCATTTAGTGTGGTAGGAGAACCCAGGAAAAGAGGAATTCCCTAAATAAATGTTGTCATCATCACTTTTTCTCTGGAAACACCGCTCTCCCCTAACTAGGTATTGTGGGGACTTTTTCACTTAAAAAAAAAAAAGAGAGAGAGAGAAAAAAAAAAAGGCAGTGACAGTGCACTCACCATTTGTGTTGGTTATTCCAACGTGAAGATCAGACCTTCCATCATACTCCCTGAAAGAAACGTGAAGAGTCCAAACCAAAAACTGGTTGAGCCAAGAGTACATTTGAGGTAGAAAATACTCCCCTGATCCCCTACCTGGATTTTCTTGCCTCCCCTTCTCCGTCCCCTGCCATTTCAAAAGGTTGTGTGTGCTGGGAGGCCAGCCTTGCTGGAGCATAGAGTCAGCTTAACTCTCGGCTCCCCAGCAGAGGGGCACACCTGAAGGTCAGTTGTTGAAGGAGCTCCTCATTCTTTCCTTCTTATAGGTGAGGTTACAGCCTGTTCATCAGGCTGACTGGGGAAAGGATCCTGAGTGCATCTCAGTGGACCTCTACCATCAAAACTAAAGTTGTGTCTTTTGGTCTTTGTAGCCCGCAGCCACACCCACTTTTCCTAGACAGCCCTTGTTTCCTGAAATTACTTTTTACCTGAGACTGTTCATTAAATCTGTGACTCCTTGGGCAGCCCGGGTGGCTCAGCGGTTTAGCGCCACCTTCAGCCCAGGGCATGATCCTGGAGACCTGGGATCAAGTCCTACATCCTAGGGTTCCCCGCATGGAGCCTGCTTCTCCCTCTGCCTGTGTCTCTGCCTCTCTTTCTGCGTCTCTCATGAATAAATAAATAAAATCTTTTAAAAATAAAAAATAAAATAAATAAATCTGTGACTCCATATGATTTAACCTTCATATACGATTCCAGGCCATCACTTCCTAGCGAGTCATTTTTTCTCTCTAATCTCAGTTTCCTCATCTGTAAAATGGGAACATCATAAACACCACCCCCACCCCCACCCCCACCAGCAAGCTGGTTGGACGAATAAAATGCCTGTTGAGTGCCTGCCACATACAGATGTCGAATAAATCAGAGGTAATCATTAAAGGATGAAGTTCCTTCATCATACTGCAGGTTCCTCATGAAAGCAAGCAGTTCCAAGCTTTAAAATGACCAAGAGGGGGATCCCTGGGTGGCGCAGCGGTTTGGCGCCTGCCTTTGGCCCAGGGCGCGATCCTGGAAACCCGGGATCGAATCCCATATCGGGCTCCCGGTGCATGGAGCCTGCTTCTCCCTCTGCCTGTGTCTCTGCCTCTCTCTCCCTCTCTGTGACTATCATAAAATAAAATAAAAGACCTTATGGATATTCATTTAAAAAAAAATGACCAAGAACACAAACAGCGGTCCCACCTTCAGAGTGATCCCCCTGGCCATCTTGTTGCAGCCACTCTGAGTGTTTTGAGACCCCATGGGTTCAGAGGCTGAGAATGAAACTGAGCAAAACTACGGGTCTGACTGTGCAACACTGCACTTACTGTGTGATCTACCCAAAGATCACTGCTGAGCACATCACTGCACTTTGTCTCCTCCTGAATCCCAGGTGTTCCTTCCCTCCCCCTGTCCTTCATTGGTTTCCCAGTCCTGCACAGATGTTTACTGGGGTATAAACTGTGGGCCTTTGAAGTGAAGGGCTAGTGGCACAACAGGAAATAAGACTGACGAGTCTATACCCTCTTGGAGTTTGCTCATTTCCGCAGAAGACTTAGTTTAACAAGTTTTTAATAGCTAAGTGCTCCTAGGGAGCAAAATATAGAATGTTACAGAAACATGTCATAGCATGAGGGCCATTCCTCTCCCATACAACACCTTTGTATAAGTTAAGAAAAAGTGCCCCTTCTTCCTGCAGATGCAGTTCTGCCCAGAGTGTTTGGCTTGGCAAGTGTAGTGCAGACTGAGTTTCAAGACCCAAAACCATCTTGGCCAGGCAGCTTTATGCAGTCCACAACCTACACAACCCTATGTGGCAGCCCTAAGAGATCTTAACCCAGTTTGATTAGAACCTCAGTGATTCCTTTGGGTTATTGCAGGTTCTCTCTTACAAAGTAGGTGAAACTGTCTCAAGGTGAGTTGTGGGAGTCCGTCCTGAGGTTTTGGAATTTGGATGAAAGAGAAAGGAACAGTTTGGAATTTGGCCTCAGAAGGTCTGGTGGGCAGGGGACTACTTAGGGTTCTGCAGATCCCAGCCTAAGGGGATGGGAGGATGCCAGGGCATACAACCTGTTTCAACATCACCAAGCAAGGCCAGGCCCATCAGTATTGCTACCACATCATAGAATAAATAAATGCTTATTAGGGTACAACCTGAAAGCCTATCATGTTCTAGAGAGCAGGGCTGTGGCTCCATCACAGTGACATCCCTAGCATTTCTCACACAGAGCTGCTAAGTAAGGATTGTTGAATGAACCAAAGTTATGGGGAATAAATTCTGAATTTTAATCACTTCATTCAAAAGCTTTTGGGATCCAGCAGGTAATACTCCCAAGTCAGTATGAATGAAGGGCTCTTACAAAACATTTTGGGCTTCATCATTCATATGAGAGAAATAAAGTTTCTGCCAGTTACATTCTGAACTGAGTATAAGAATAGGATGGAAAGGACAATGTTGGCTCAACATCATGACTGGTGCCTGGGCCAGGTTTTTCTCCCTTACCACTGAACCTCACCACACTGCAAGGTCAGCAGGACCCTCATTTTGTAGATGAGGAACAGAGACTCTGGATGGGCTGGAGCTGAACTGGGAGAGGAATTGGGGGCTTTGTGGCACTGTTCTCTCTGCACCCTGCGTCATCCAGGGAGGGTCAGGCATGAGGTACCCTGCACACTTTGCTTCATTTCACCCATGTAAAGACAGGAAGAAAATCAATTAAGGAAGTTAGTAAGCAGAGAAGTGAATAGACAACTCCAATTGTCTTATCCCAAACCAGTGCTCTTGAGGGTACATGGGAATTGAGAGGGTAGGTTTCAAAGAGGCCAGGAGGTCTCAGCACTAGGTCACAATGATGCTTATGACCATACTTCCTAAAGCACATGCCATCATTCCGTAGTGTCCCATGCTCTCACACCTGGCTCACACTGGGCCACTTCTAATTCCATTTGTAAACTCCACAGGAGGCACAGTCCTTTCTTTTGATTACTGAAATCTTTCTTAAAGTCAGGTGGTATCCACAACTGAGGTAGACCCCCTCTGGTCTGCAATTTAATTCATCCCCATGCAGAATAGTCTATACATAGCCTTTCTTCAGGCTTTGTACATTGTACCTCTTTGTCACAGAAGTTACAGACTAACTCGCAGTAAAGAAATCATTTTGATTAGAGTAACTACTGGGTCATTTTCCCAGTTAGCCTCTTAGCACAAAATTTATAGGTAAAAAAAATCTCCAAGCTATCAGTTTTCCTCTCTTAAGATTGTATAAGCAGGTTTGACCTTCCCTTATTCATATAGTCTTGCACTTCTCACTCTAGGGAAGTACGTACACCATCTATCTTTATGAAATAAAGAGACCTACATTTTAGGATTTAATGCCCAAACACTGGCAAGATTACCCACCAAACCTCACACTGTGTAGCACACATTAGAAAAAGTTTTCGGGGTGTCTGGGTAGCTTGATGGGCTAAGCGTCCAATTCTTGGTTTCCACTCAGAGTCATGGGATCTCATGGGGCTGTGTCTGCCGCTCTGCCCCGCAATGGGCTCTGCGGCTCGGCAGGGAGTCTGCTGGAAATTCTCTCTCTTTCCTTCTCCCTCTGCCCCAACCCGCAGCCGTCCACCCCCCAACCTGCCTCACTCGCGCGCGCTCTCTCTCTCCCTAAAATAAATAAATCTTTAAAGAAAAAGTTTTAGTGACTACAACACAGAAGGAAAAGTTTACAGAATCACTTAATATAACACTCAGAAAAACACTGTACCTAAGAAACGTCCCTTGAGTTGGTCTAAGGAGGAATGAACATTTTTCTTGATGCCCGTTGGTAAACGGATTGCAGATGCTAACAGGTGCTTCCTCCAGCTTCCTCGAGCCCATGACCTGCTGGCAAAGGGGGCAGCACTGGGGCACACTGAAGCTGTAGATGTATTTCTTACAGTGGTTGAATTTAATTAATGGCTTTCCAGCCTCTATACGCTGCATGGTTTTCCTATCCTGGGCAACCAGGAGCCGTTTCCCAAGACTTCCTTTTCCTCTTTCCCTGGCTAGCAAATGTACACCTCCCGAGTAACCTGATCAGCAATGATGTCATTCTGATTGACGGCTTCAGAAGCCAAACCCAAGAGGATTAACCAGTAACCAGACCGCCCCATAAACTGGTGTTTTAAAGAGCTAGTTTTCATTTGTGCTCACTTAAAAAGTTTCTTCCCAGCCTTCCACACTTTGCAACCGCCAACACACAGCGCCTACTCATCCTTTAAGCCCTACTTTTCTGTGAAACCTTCCTTCGCTTCCTTGAGTGTTGCCTTGCACTGGCAGGAGTGGATTCCTGCTTTTACTAGGGTTCTGATATTTGATTAGTCATTAGTCTGTGAACTTCTTGGAGTTAGGACCCACATTTATTTCTGTGTTTCTAGAATAGGTAATGTTGTTTTGTTGTTGGATAAATACATGAAATCCTTGGAGGCTATTTTCTTTTGATGTTTCATATTGCAGAAGTAATGTTGCTCATAAAAAATTAACAACACAGTTAGAAATAAGGATAGTGGTTGCCCCAGGTGAGGGTGGGAGGGAGAGCGCAGGAGGCAGTTTCTGTGGTCTGGGGCTGCTCTGATTCATTATCAAGGGGTTGAGTTTATTAGAGTATTCAGTTTGTGGAAATTCATCAAACTGGACTTTTAACTACATGCTCAATTTTAAAATAATTTTCAGAAACTGCAAAAAAGGTCAGAAAAAAAAAGTCATGTCCCCAGTTCCTCCATAAAATTTTCCCACTCACCAAATCCTGTTCCCTGAGAAAACTAATGGTAAGGTAAATGAATATTTCCACATAATTTTTCAAATCCCAGTGTCGTGGTATCAGTAAACTGAAATCACCATTTACTGGTTTGAAATGTGTTTATTTCTCTCATCTTGGAAATTTATCTACAATATTAGGACTATAGGTCCAGCTCATCCTTTCAGATGATTGCCTAGGAATCCATAGTTTGGTTGCACCACACTTTTTTTTTTTTTTTTTAAGTAATCACGACACTCAACATGGGGCTCAAACTCACAACCCTGAAATCAAGAGTTGTATGCATTTCTTTTTAAGATTTTATTTATTTATTCATGAGAGAGACACAGAAAGAGGCAGAGACATAGGCAGAGGGAGAAGCAGATTCCCCATGGGGAGCCTGATGTGGGACTTAATCCCAGGACCCTGGGATCACACCCTGAGCCAAAGGCAAACACTCAACCACTGAGTCACCTAGGCGTCCCTTATATGTGCTTTTGACTGAGCCAGACAGGCACCCCTGTACCATGCTTTATTTAACTAATCCCCTATTGATGCCTATAGTTCCAGAGAAAGCCAAGAGTAAAGGGAAGACCTGTGGGTATCATGGCAGGTATAGTTACTTCAGAAAAATGTTTCACAGCATGCATTTAAATAAATTACAGGGATCCCTGGGTGGCGCAGCGGTTTGGCGCCTGCCTTTGGCTCAGGGCGCGATCCTGGAGACCCGGGATCGAATCCCATATCGGGCTCCCGGTGCATGGAGCCTGCTTCTCCCTCTGCCTATGTCTCTGCCTCTCTCTCTCTCTCTCTCTCTCTCTCTCTCTCTCTCTCTCTGTGACTATCATAAATAAAAAAAAATAAATAAATAAATAAATAAATTACAGTGTGCTGAAATATAGAAAAATGTGTGTTAAGTATTAATATGAAAATGATCATCAGGGCAGCCCAGGTGGCTCAGTGGTTTAGTGCTGCCTTCAGCTCAGGGCGTAATCCTGGAGTCCCTGGATTGAGTCCCACATCGGTCCCACTGCATGGAGCCTGCTTCTCCCTCTGCCTGTGTCTCTGCCTCTCTCTGTGTGTGTCTCTTGTGAATTGATAAATAAAATCTTTAAAAAAGAAAAGAAAAGAAAATGATCATCAGACTCATAGAACTAGAAAAAACCTTAGAAATCATTTCAACCACCTTCTTCTGTTACAGTAAAGGCAGACAGGCTATAGCTAGATGCCCAGCCTGGGTAACCAAGGTCTGAGATTGTTCATTATTAATATAAACCACGCACCTATTGTTTGATTATTTGAGTGACCCAAGGTATTTTCAACTGAGAATATATTCATCTTCGTGACACCAATACCAAGAGGTATGGTTTTTGTTTTTGTTTTTTTAAGATTTTATTGATCTATTCATGAGAAACACAGAGAGAGAGGCAGAGACACAGGCAGAAGGAGAAGCAGGCTCCCCGCAGGGAGTCTGATGTGGGACTTGATCCCAGGGTCCTGGGATCATGACCTGAGCCAAAGGCAGACGCTCAACCACTGAGCCACCAGGTGCGCCCCAGAGGCATTTTTAATCTTATGAAAAGGAAGTGAGACATCATGCCTTGATAAACATTTTTAATACACTAGCATTCTCTTTTATTTAAAACACACACACACACACACACACAGGCATCTTCAGCCACCTGGCTGGCTCAGTTGGTAGAGCCTATGATCCTTGATCTTGGGGTTGTGAGTTTGAGCCCTGTGTTGAGTGTAGAGATTACTTAAAACTAAATTTAAAAACATTTAAAAGGGGCACCTGGGTGGCTCAGTGGTTGAGCATCTGCCTTTGGCTCAGGGCATGATTCCAGGGTCCTGGGATCGAGTCCCACAACAGGCTCCCCACGGGAAGCTTGCTTCTCCCTCTGCCTATGTCTCTGCCTCTCTCTGTGTTTCCCATGAATAAATAAATAAAATCTTAAGTAAATAAAAAATAAATAAAACACAGGCATCTTTAATCCTTTTTTTAACCTTATTTTCTCTATTTCTAAAAATCTTCTTATGGTAAAAATAAAACAGATACAGATGATTACATAAAACAAATGTATGGTTTAGTGAATTATTGTACTGTGAACCCTTGTAAGTATCACTCAAGTCAAGAACGAAAATTTTCCTAGCCATCTCAGAGGCCCCTCTTATGTTCATCCCTCTTCTTCCTCCAAAAGTGACCCCTATCCCACTCAAGTAATCATTCCTTGTGCTTTATTTTGGTTTCATCATCCAAGTGTGCATCTGTAGATACTATGGTTTAATCTTGCTCATCTAAACACTTTTGTTATGTATTTTAAGTTCTGTCTCCTTTTCCTTCCCTTAATTTTTCTTATATCTATGAAGCATCCAAATCATTGGACCTGTAGCATCTCCCACAGTCTGTTGCTATCTGCTTACTCGGGGTTCAGTTCAACACACTGCTGTGCCCTCTGTACATCCTTTAAATTTGCAGCTGGACCCAGACACTTAGATCCAATCTAAGTCTGGATCAGACTTAGATCCAATCCTCTTGGCAAGACTGTGAGTGGTAACATGTTCTCTCATCAGAGGTACATCAGATCTGCTCCTCACTCTTTTTTTATGTTAGGCCCCATTATTCTCAGTGCTTAGAGATCCATTCATTCACTGACATGGGTACAGTGATGATATTCTAAGTCTATCATGTTGTTTTCATACATTATGTGGAATAATAGTATAAGGAGACACTTCCCCTCAACTCTTACACTGTGGCACAAGCATACTGGAAGGATTGGATATATGCCTGATTCTTTATGCACATGTCAAGATAATGAGGACATCTCTGACATACTCAGAAAGTGCCCAGTTAGTTTCATATCTGTTTTAGCCTAATGTCACTTAATGAACTCCTAGACATATTAGCTGGATTTCAACCCACTTGCACTTTTTATTCTAGTTGAAGCTCAGAAGGAAATTTTTTTTAAATTTTTATTTATTTATGATAGTCACACAGAGAAAGAGAGAGAGGCAGAGACACAGGCAGAGAGAGAAGCAGGCTCCACGCACCGGGAGCCCGACGTGGGACCCGATCCCGGGTCTCCAGGATCGCGCCCTGGGCCAAAGGCAGGCGCCAAACCGCTGCGCCACCCAGGGATCCCCTCAGAAGGAAAATTTTAAGTGTGGAAGAGGTGCAAATGTAATGTAGAAGAGGATAAATAAAAATCCTGTAGTCCTGAATTTGAATTAGGAATAACAGTATGAACTCATGACATATTTTATCTTCATGTGTGTACAGGCGAGTGTGTACTTTTTTTTACCCTGCTCTGCTCACTGAAAAGGTGGATAAATAACCAATAAATATCCTTAGTGGGCAGACTGTACTCTTGAAATACCATTTCCCACTGAAAGAAAGAAATCAGAGCTTCTTAGAGAAATGGTTGATTCCAGGCCTGGGTTCAGGAAAGGTTTGAGATGAACCTGAAACATCTTCACGGACTAGGTAGCAAGAAAATCATCAGAGACTAGTAGGTTCATGTGAAAAGGACTCAGAAGCCAACTGAAGAGGCCAAAATGTGACAATATGAGCTTTGACTAGAATAAAAACTGCATTGGGTTGAAATCCAGCTAATATGTTTAGGAGTTTCTCTGTTGAACAGTCTTGGCACCCTTTCCAGAAATCAATTGAAAAGCAACATACAGAATGGGAGAGAGTATTTGCAAATCATATATCTAATAAGAGGTTAATATCCAGAGTATATAAAGAACTCCTACAACTCAATAGAAAACAAAAACAAACAAACAAAAAACCACCAAACAATCCAATTTAAAAACAGGCTGAAGACCTCAATCAATAGATATTCTCCCACAAGAAGACATGCAAATGGCCAATAGATACTTGATAAGTCCCTTAACATAACTAATCATCAGGGAAATGCAAATCAAAACCACATTGAGATATCACTTCACACCTGTTAGAATGGCTGTGATCAGAAAGACAAGAGATGAGTGTTCAAAAAGATGTAGAAAAGGGAATCCTTGTGTAGGTTGGTACGGCAACCATGAAAAACAGTATGGAGGTTCCTCCAGAAATTAAAAATACAACTACCATATGATCAAGGAATCCCACTTCTAGATATATAGCCAAAGGAAATAAAAACAGGATATCAAAGTATTATCTTCACTGCCATGTTCATTGCAGCATTATTTACAATAGCCAAGTTATAGAGACATCTTAAGTGTCAATCAACATATA